CGCACGGGGTGAAAGACATCGAACGCGAGGGAAAGGGAAGGATCGTTGCGGAACCATGCGCAATACTCCGCATTTCCCCGTTGTGTGGCGAGTTTCGCGAGGCTGATTTCTCTCCGCGGAAGCGTATTTAACGTAATTTACGAGCGCATACGTTTGGTACAACAAAGCCCGATCAAACCGATGATTTCGTTGCGAATATTCGTGAGTAATCTCCCTCGGAAGATTGGTTTCTATGGATCACACGACAGGACGACACGGTCGAACGAAGTTCAGTCGCGAAAAAGGGGCAAACGTAAGATCTATGCTATCTTCGCACGTGAGAGATCCTCTCTCTCTCTCTCTCTCTCTCTCTCTCTCTTTCGGTTAGATTTGCCCGAGGCAAAATTAAAATGACAATGATCGACTTACCTGTTTCTTCAGGATGATATGCTTGCCCTTCCAGTACTTCATCATACCGAGAGCCTGTAGGGTGCTGACGATGTCGTACGAATCGATAGCCATCTCCTTACTGATATCTGGAAAACAATATGCAAAACGGGACGAATACGGATAGCGTCGAGTGACTCGAATCTTGTCTGGGGCAACGCACGCTCTCTTTCTCTGTACCGGTATTCTTAAAATAACGCGTCTTGTAAAATCGGTCAAAAGCGTGCGAGGCGTGTGCACCGCGGCTGGTATTGTGTTACCTTTAACGGAGAGTTCTTTGCCCCCGAAGTTGCAGAGGTACTGCAGTAAAACGTCCTTCCAGTAGCTGCGATACGAGATCAAGCCCAGATCCGACAGGGGTTTTTCGGGCGAGCCAATCTTTTTCTCCACTCTGGTCAATAAGTAACCTGCGCAAAACACAGACGTAACGTATCGTTTTTTGTTCGGCCTCTTTGGCAGGAATTTGTTCGCGCGTGATCGATAAGCAATCGCGGGACAAAGAGGTCAATAAACGACAAAGTGAAACGAGTTCCTGTGATTGATGTCGAACGTTTTCGAATCGATCGGCTGCTGGCAAAATGCAATTCGCAAGCACGCGAACGAAACGTGTCCCGGCTAATTGTGTGAAATTTTTATCAATAGTCCACGCAAATTGACGAGATGTTCCATTATGAACTTTTCGACTCGTTCGTTAGACTGGCTGTTTTACATAGAGAGTTCGTCATAGGACGAAGTTGTCCTAGGACGAGGCGTAACAACTGCCAGAAGCTTGTTATCATTTCCTCTGTAATATCCTCTCGTTACTTGGGCACTACATTACGCTCTTGTGCACGGACCACTAGACAGACTATGAAATTCCAATTCCACGAGATACCGGTGGCCGTCGAAGCCGCATAGGTACAGAGACCATGCGCGCGTTCACGTGCACACACGTAATACACGTCTCCATCCTGAATCGACGCCACCACTATAAGCCGTTTCTGGTGTCAGTGACCGACGAAGGATGAAATGCCACGGCACCAGCACCGTATCGACAATAATTTCAACTTGATCTAGGATGTATTATTATTTGCCGCGAGGCAATCTCATCATGCATTGTGCCAAAAATCTATCGAAGGCGAAGCCAGTTTGCAAAGAATAGAAAAGGAAGAGATAACGCGCGATGATAGCAGCCGTGCTTCTTCAATTTCCTTCGCAACGACGTTTATCGAAAAGAAGTTTCTAGGTACATCTCAAACTATACACGGCACTGACAACGTCCGGCTGCTTCAGGAGTCTGGTTGAATGTCCGTCACGCCTCGTTTGTCCGATGTATCCCACGACGTGGTGTATGGATCGTGCGAAGAACGGACAGTCGAAAGAGAGGATTCGCGAGTCCACGCTGTATTCGTCGATGATACTTTTGGCAGGCGAGAGAAAACGAGACGGTCGAGCGATTTGCGATACGAGCCGACGTTGAAGATTGCTTCTGCTCCTTCGCGTGTCGGCTAATTGACTTAATTAAATAAATTGCATCGACAGCGCCGATGCTAAGGAGATTTCTTCTCGTTTATATGGGTTATCCGTTATATTTGTAAGAAGCAGGCACGCGCGGCCCGTATTGATTTCGCATCGGCATACCGTTACTTTTAAAAAAGACACGCGAAATCATTGATCCGAGGATATTCGCAGCTTCGCCGCGGCTATTTCAATGCCCCGTTTAGCATATAGGAACTTTCGTATCGGAACATGCATATTCACGCGAAAACACGTTTTAAAAGAGAGCACGCGTTCCCGAGCCGTTCTGAAACGACAGCGTGCATCAAATACGCCAAGAAATACAGACACGGCGGACGTGTTCACGAACTTTCGTTGGTATTTTTCCAAAAATACAGGGGGGGTCGATTCGAGCGAGCGCGATTCAAATGAGAGAGGTGTTTCGTGCACGGAATGGGCGAACTTCGATCGACTATACGTCCTCTTTTACGTTCGAGATAACGACGGCTCTTCCTCCTCTCAGACACGCCGATGTCGGTTTCCAGAACATCCGGAAACCGTAAAGTTCAATGACCAGCAGTGGCCAGGCGAAATCCTCGCGGAAGCATCTCCAAGCATCTGCGCAGCAACGTTCCCGAAATAACCGCGGAATTCTCATTATCCGAATAATCGAGGTCGAGACGATAACAGCGTCTCGCGACTGAAGGTGAAAGAAAAAGAAGAAGGAGGATGAGGCGGTGGTGCAGAAGAGGTGCAGGGGAGGGGCGGGGAGGGGAAGAAGGCAGGAGGTTTAGAGAGAAAGAGATCATACTACCAGGTGTCGGGAGAGGTGCACGGTAAAAGGGAGGTGAGACGATTTTTACAGAGTATCCGAGGCAGCTCGCGAGGACCGGTCCTGTGCCAGGATTATTCCAGGATGTCCCGGAGGCTGAGAGGTTCAACGACCATCCTTTCCCTCATCCTCCTTCAGCCTGCTGGACTCTATACGCTGCGTTCTATAGCTAAAGAGAGGACAGTCTACCCTCTATCTCTGCAGTCACCGTCACCCTCTCCCAATTCTTTTCCACCACCTCGTCTCGTTTCTCTGGCATCGCGAGCTCTTGTATCTCTCTCTCTCTCTCTCTCTCTCTCTCT